TGCCTGTATTATTGGCAGTGTGACAATTAACAACAAACCCATCATATGACAAAATATGTGAAAAGACAATGCATTAACAGCTTTATAGTTGACTTGCCAGAGGTGTTCTGCACCTGCGCTTTCCATTGACTTTACAAGGAGTTGCAAGTGCTTGGCATCTATGAAAAACATGCCATTTCATCTCGAAGGCAATGTGAAATCGATTTAAAAAACACAAGTGACAAAGGCTTGTAACATGGCTTTCTTCATGTAACGTGGTTGTCTTTTTGGGTAGGGCTAATAGATGTTGTGCAAGTCAGAAAATAGGATAAACATAAGCAGAGTAATGTCATAATTTACATAATTACACACTTTTAAATGTTACTGCACTTTGGTTTTAACTTGCATAAGTTCTCTACTATTTTGGTCCTTCCATCAAACAATGAATTTCAGAAATACAAGTATCAAATGGAAAGGTTATTTTAGACATGCAGTCTTTGGAAGCTGCTCATCCAACACCTACAGCTTGATTCTCAAGGTCAGTGTTGAATATTTTCAGTCTCTTAATCGTATACAGCATGAAACAGTAATGAGAGTTCTGCAGTGTTGGATGACCCACTACAGATGTAGTAGATTAAAAGGCACTAATCCCCACTGATTCCATACTCCTCCCTGAGTTCAGCAAAAAAGAGCATTTTCAAAGTAGGAAACCTTTAAAAAAATCAGTGTTGGATTGCTTACAGTCCCATGTGCTGAGGAATTTTTGAAGCAGTTGATACGGAAATAAACCAAATGGATACTGTCATGTGTTTTTCCCGTCTATATGATTCTGCTTTTCTAGCTAAAAATGCAATTTGTACTTGTACAAAATGTATGTTTAATTTTGAAACATAAATTGGTAGGAAAAGAGTTAATCGCTATTATTATATAAGAACATTACAGAATGGGGAAATTTAAAGTTATCCTCTTTCCTATAATGCCCATGATGACCAAGTCCAATCTCCTGAGTTATTTTATTTATTTTATGAATTTTTTCATTTTTTGTTATATAAGACAATGCTATTAATATTTTAATGGCCATAACTGAACTTAAGAATTTTTATTGTAATGACTGTGATCTAAATATTTTTAATCTCAAAGAGAATTATTATGGACCTTTGCACAAAGCTACAGATAATTTAGTATAATGAAGAAAAAATATCTGTATAAACTAAAAGCAATTACATGCATATTATCATAAAATTACTATAATAAAATGTCACTACAATTAGAGGATTGTGGAGAAACTTTTGGAGAAACTATGGGAACTTTTCACATTTTAAACTATCTTGTTTGAACATTGCTTGTTTCCTTCCCCTGCTTGAAAATGAAATCATAATAGTTAAAAAAAGAAAAAAGAACCGCAGGTAATCAGCTTATATTACCAAAAGAGCTTCTACCTATTCTATATAATGTGACATTTAATGCCAACCCTCTACAAAGATCTGTCTTTAATTTCTCTTGTGTAAAAAAAAATTGCAGCTGACAGGATGATACAGATGATATAGGCAGGATGCATTAAAAAATAATTAAGAGACAAGAAATCAGATATATTCAATGAGCTTTCAAACCCACTCCAGCAGTAGGGTTAAATAATTTAATAAAGACAAATTCATATTCTTTTTAGCTCCCTGGTGCAATAGGCGGATATTAAAAAAATAAAACTTTAAATTCATGAATAGCTATATATGAAAGCTCAAGCGATAGCAAATAAGTACTTCATGTGTGTGCACATTCAAACCAACCAATACTTTTTCACACAAAAGGACAATATTACTACATATTATAATCTGGCAACTCAATCTTTTTTCAAATTATGTTCACCAAAAACGCAATCCCTATATTCACACAATTTTTTCAAAACAATTGAGTTTTGGGGCTAATGAGGGAGACTATTTATGCACTGTATTTGGAAATATTTGAAACATGAAGTACAGTTCCAGAAGATGCTGTGATAGTGGATATGAGGTAGCAGGTAATTAGGGAAAAAAGTACTGATTTGGGAAAGCTCGCTTCTCTATTTTATTTGTCCTTAACTCCTATCATCCTAAATGATCAATCATTATTGTAATGGGTGGATTTTAATCTTCTAGAATACATCATTGTCTCCAAAAATGAAACAGAATAGCAGACAGGCATTTCATTGTTTTAGATTTTACTAAAAACACAGCACTTTACAGGACTGTACTTTTACTAGTCCGTGTAAAAGCTTGCGAAGAGTAAAAAAATTAGCATAATTTTACCATCCTACAAGCTCAACACACCCTGTAATTTTAAACATTTAGAACCAATCATTAAATTACTAAATTCTTGTCATTCTGAACAATGGGGTCAGTGTTACATAATGATCATTGCAGTGACTGGATTCTATGCAGAGCATACACATCCACCTGTGTTTAAACAAGGGAAAGGTTTACTGACACTTTAAAAGCTCTGCATTGAAATGAACGGCAGCCTTTCGGGCTCAGTGCAACCCAAGTGGCATGAAAGCTGAAGGGGCTGGCATCACATCTAGAATAATCACCAAAAGGGAGGCAACTGGGCGTTACCTACGTTGCTTGCTTGCTTGCTTGTAGCTAAAATCTTCAACC